TTCCTCGGGTCCTTGCCTCTCTCGTTACCGACCCCTCTGTTCCGGTCTCGTGCCTTGACGCTCTTGTCGCTGCAGTCGCTGACTTCGCCTCTACCCGCCGCCTTGACTACGCCACCGCTCTGGTCTCTGACCCTGCCTGTCCTCCGTCTGTCGGGGGTGCTCCTGCCCTTGGCAGTGACGTCCTGGAGGACCGCCATTTCGAGCTTGCTTTCCTGTCTGAGGCTGCTCCCCATCTCTGTTCCATGCTGCTAGTCCCTGAGGGTGACCCAGACGCTTTCGACATCCCGACCCCTCGCACTTACGCTGAGGCGACTTCGGGACCCTGGGCCTCGCAGTGGATAGCTGCCATGGAGCAGGAGATGGCATCTTGGAGATCCACCAGCACCTTTGTCGACGCAGTTCCCCCGCCTGGGGTGAACGTAGTCGATGGCCGCTGGCTCTTCAAGGTGAAGCGCCCTTCTGGAGAGCCGCCTGTGTTCAAGGCGCGCTACGTGGCTAGAGGCTTCAGTCAGCGTGAGGGGGTGGACTTCTTCCAGACCTTCGCTCCGACCCCGAAGATGACTACTCTTCGGGTTCTGTTACACCTAGCTGCTCAACGTGACTACGAGCTTCACTCCCTCGACTTCTCCACTGCCTTCCTACAGGGCAGCCTACACGAGCAGGTCTACTTGCGTCGCCCTCAGGGCTTTACTGGCACCTTCCCTCCTGGGACCCAGTGGCTCCTGCGGCGCCCCGTCTACGGCCTGCGCCAGGCTCCCCGTGAGTGGCACGACACTCTCCGTGCTACGCTAGCTGACCTGTAGTTCTTTCCGTCTTCCGCAGACCCCTCACTCTTCTTTCGTGCTGGCCCGACTCCGTTCTACATCCTTGTTTACGTCGACGACCTGGTCTTTGCCACAGCAGACAGGGACGCACTAGCCTCCGTGAAGGCAGAGCTGCTGAAGAGACACACGTGCACTGACCTTGGAGAACTGCGCCATTACCTTGGCTTGCAGATCTCCAGGGACAGAGTTGCGCGCACCATCACCCTGACTCAATCACACTTGGTGCGCCAGGTCCTTCAGAGGTTCGGCCTTCAGTTCTCCTCTGCACAGCCCACCCCTCTGCCTGTAGACCACAGACTCTCCGCTCCAGTGTCTGAGGAGTCGGTAGAGCCCAGCGGCCCCTACGCAGAGCTGGTGGGTTGCCTCATGTACCTGATGACTTGCACTCGCCCAGATCTTGCGTACCCTCTCAGCATCCTGGCTCGCTTTGTGGCCACAGGCAGACACCGACCGCAGCACTGGTCTGCCGCTAAGAGGGTTTTGCGTTATCTTGCTAGTACATCGGGCATGGGGTTAGTGCTAGGAGGACGCAGGCCAGTGGTCCTTACTGGACACACAGACGCTTCGTGGGCAGACGATGCCGAGACACTCAGGTCTACCCAGGGCTACTGCTTCAGCCTTGGCTCAGGTGCCGTCTCATGGAGAGCTACCCGCTCCTCGTCTGTTGCCCAGTCCAGCTGTGAGGCTGAGATCTACGCTGGTGCCATGGCGGCACAGGAGCTCCGCTGGCTGACCTTCTTGCTCACTGACTTAGGTGAGCGGCCTAGCTCTGCCCCGGTCCTGTTCGCTGACAACAGGGCCATGATCCTCCTGTGTCAGGAGCCTTGACTCGAGGGCAGAGCGAAGCATATTCAGCTGCGATACTTCCTCCTGCGCGAGCTACAGCAGCGACGCCAGGCTCGCGTAGTACACTTGGCCTCAGGTGCCAACACAGCTGATATCTTTACGAAGGCGCTTGCGCCTAAAGATCATCAGCGGCACTGCGTACAGCTTGGTCTAGTTCCTGTAGCCTCTCACTTGCTAGGGCCTTGACTTTGTACTGTCCTTTATATGCATACTCAGACTGGACTTGTGTCCTCTCCTAGTGGCTGGACTAGTAGTGCCGCCCTGGTCTTGTTCTTGCCTTGTCTCAACTCCGTCTGACTGGTCTTTTAGACCCTTGTCTCAGAGGTTGGACTAGTAGTGCCGCCCTGAGCTGCTTGTTCTGGTCATTCCCCTATGCAGTCTAGGGGGTGTGTCAAACATAAGCATAACTCATGTTTGTATAGACTGTATAGGGTCGCCTCTTAGAGGGTACAACACTCTTAGGTATATACCCTTGTACTCTCTCTCTATTCATCAATTCTTCAGTTCTAAGACATAATTCTGTGTCAAGTCAAGGTTGATAATAGAAAGGCATTACATGGATTTATAGCTCTATGGAAAGTACCTGTTCGGCTAGTTGCGCGCTATGCGACCTATTCATCATTCTATAGTATCGCGATTGTTCGCGTTACTGAAACGACTCGTTACGCCTAATCGCGTAACTGAAGCGGTATGCTGAGGTCATCCCCGAGACCCGCGATGCTTTGATGACATCAGCACTCGGGTATGGATGCTTACTGAGAAACTCGATTCTGCTAACTAAATTGAAAACGGAACTTGCAGGAATGCAAAACTCCATTTATCACAACATACTTGATAGGGGATGTAACAAACAAGTGGGTGTTACCAGCAGAGTGTTACCTTTAGGAATGTTAAGATAATTCTTTATCATATCAAGACCATCCAACCCAATCCAATGGACATGTGGTCAGGTGCTTCACGTGAACGCCTTTCTTCTGATATTTTTATGCAATAAGGTACATGCTTCTGCTTCCAGCCTAGGCTTCTGTTGAAAATACCGTACCTCGGTATTGTCCTCATCATCCTTCCCAGGCTCACTCACACCACTCACCCCTCCACTCTTCTCCGCCTCCCCCGTCACCATCTCCGCTCCTCGCCTCGCCACCTCTCGCCCGCCCAACCCACATCCCTCGTTCCCCACGCCGATCTGACCCCTCGCCGCGCGGCACGCTCGCTGGAATCGACGATATGCCGCAGCCTGCAATGATCCGACGACTCGCCACCGTTGCCGCAGGATCCTGCGGAAAGCGGGCTGTCAGGGCACTCTCTGTCGCAAATCACGCGCACGGCACTGCCACGTCAGCAGTGGAGGGCGGTGCGTCGTTCCACAGCAGCGCGACGGCCAATGCACCTGTAAGAAGCTCCTCCTCCTCCTTTTCGCGCTCCTGACTCTCCTCGCCCTCCTTACTGGCGACACTAAATAGTACGAATCTTATGGAGGGAGTAATCTCAACGCTGCAACGCATGGTTTCTCCCGCGCGACGTCTCCTCACTGCCGCGCATCCCAGTTTGTCGCTCTCCGTCGCATTGCTCGTCGCCGTGTGTCGCACTAGGCTGTCGCTGCTCGTCGTACGCGTACGGTTATCCCCGCGTCATCCAGATCTCCCCAGGATTCTCGCAGCTGGTTCGCCGCGTAGATCTCTCCGCCTCGTCCTTCGTTTCCTCGTTATCCGTTAAGAATCTCCGAGGGAACCCTAGAGTTCTAGCTGTCGGAGTTTGACTCGGTCGTTTTTAGAGAGGTTGCCGTTGAGTCAGCTGTTTTGGGAGTCAAGTTGACTTCCCTTATTTTGTTGAATGCTAGGCGATCGCAGCCCTTTCAGGTGCCTGTACGATTTCAGACTGTAGCGAGGCCGATCATGGCGGGGTGTTCTGCGCGAAAAGGGAGAAAGCGCGCGCGGGGGAAAAACGCTCGGAGAAGGCGCCGGGCCCCGCTGATTTTCAATCCTGAGACGCCCGTGGAGCGAGGGCTTTCTGCTGTTTCGGGGAGCTTCGTGTTGCGAGACTAGATCTGTTATCAGCGATCCGCGATCGGCGAACGCGAGAGAGCAAAAGCAGGAGCGTTTCGTGTTTCCGATGTGATCTTTATACGCGATCTGCTTTGTTCCACAGCTCAGCGCGCGTCCGCTTAGTACATAAGGACCTAATCCCTCTCCGGTCCTGCTGGCCACTGTTGTGAGTCTACTGTTGTGTTGTGGTAACGCTGGTGGCTTGCTTGGTCGCGATTAGGGTAACCAGGCCTCGTGTTTCGTGAAGTCGTGTGCTTCAAGGACCCACTGAACGGGCTACCGGTATCAGTAACCCAAGTTATTCCACCCGAGTGCGCTGGTAATCAGATGTTTCTGTAGTCGTTACAGTCCCAACTCGAGATGATCAAAAGTCCTTGCTTCGTTACTGCGTTCGGGAACCCGCGTTTCTCCCCAGGCCTAGCCCACGATATCCTCTTCCCACGCCTAGGGTACGCAGTGCTTGCTTGTGCTGCCGTGTTCCCCACACCTCTTTGCATCTTTGCCTCCCCTTGGTCGTGCCCCACTCTTGCCCTTTTTCTCGTCAACTCATCGCCCCTTATCCTCTCTCCCACCTCCCTCCCTCCCTCCCCTGCCTCCCCCTCTCCCCCCCCCCTCCCTCCCTTCCTCTCCGTACCACCCCCTCTCTGCCCTCAGGAGCCCACGGCCTCCTCTGGTGCCCAAAACTCCGTTCCCTTTCCAAGGTGCGTCCGTTGCTCTCTCTCCTCTCCACATGCGTCGGTAACGCCTTCGTCCTGCTCTGTATCTCGTGACGTGTATCGTATGTCTCTGCCTGCTTCTCTACTTGCCTGCCATGCAAACCTCCATCCACCCCTCCATGCACCCCTCCCATACGTCCCTCCCACGCACTCTTCTTACGCTCACGAAGGTCTCTTTGTTAGCGATCGCCCATAAAATCTCCCTCCCTCCGTTTCCTCTCCCCCCATCCCCTTTCCTCCCCATCTCTCTCCTGCCCCCCTCCCCTCTCCTCTCTCTCTCGCGCTCCCTTCCGCCCTCCTCCCTTTCGCTTCCTTTGCCTTCACTCTCTCATCTCCATGCCCTCACTCTCCCTCCTCCCCCCCCAACGTCTCCCACCCCCTCTCCTCGCCCTCCACCACCTTCCACTCCCCTTAACCCCCCCTCTCGCCCCCCTCCCCCTCCCCCAGGGAGGGTCCCGGAGTGAGCTATGCGCTGAACTGGTCACTGGCGGCAGCGGGCGTCACGCCAGCAGGCCTCGTGCAGAGGAACGTCAAGCCCTCTAAGCTCGGCGCTGCTGCTCCCGCTGGTGGGTGCTGCAGGGGAGAGGGAGAGGGCATGGGAAGGGTGGGAGGGCATGGGGAGGGGGGGAGGGCATGGGGAGGGGGGGAGGGCATGGGGAGGGGGTGGCGCACGGAATGGCTGCTGCCACTCGTGCAGAGGAACATCAAGCCCGTGCTGTTGCATGAGGGTTGACGGGGGCGGGTTCGAAGCTGTTGCAATTCGTGCCGGTAAGGGGCAGCGCGGGGAAGGGCCGTTACCATTGGTGCTAAGGATCGCCATGGCTTCCTCCCCTGCCATCGCCATTCCCCTTTCTCCCGACTGCCCCCTTCGCCCTTCCCCTTTCCTCGCCTATTGCTGTTCCTCCCATTGCTTTCTTTCCTTCCCTCGTCCCTTTTCTCCTTTCTTCCCCCTCCCCTCCCCCCACCCCTTCCCCCCATTTTCCCTCCGTCTTCTCCTGCGGTCGTCTTTTTCCCCCCTCCCCATCCGCACCTTTCCCTGCTCCTGCCTTTCTACTTTTCCTTCCTCGCATGGTTCTCGGCCAGCAAGCAAGGCCCCTGTGCGCGTGGCAGCGACGTGCTCTAAGGACTTGAGCAAGGCAGAGTCTCTCCCCCCCCCGGCTCCGCACACACACCTCCTCCCCCCCCTTGTCTTGCACCTATTTGTTTCTCCTCCCTCCCTCCTGTCCGTCAGGAAGCAAGGCCCCTGCGCGCGTGGCCGTGAAGGGCTCTAAGGACCTCAGCAAGGCTGACTACAACAAGCTTCTTAAGGAGGTAAGCCGTTGCCTTACAGGCTGATGCTTATAGATGTAGCTAGTAGTGCGGGGGGAACGGTGAGGATGAGGAGGGCTGGAGACCAGAGCAGGGAGGAGTCAGGGGAAGGGGGAAGGGAGAAGGGGAAGGGAGAAGGGGGAAGGGAGAAGGGGGAAGGTGTTGGGAGTTGTTGGGCGCACGCACGTGAAACAAAGGACTGTGTGAGGAGTGGAGCAGGAGGGTGCGCGGCTGAGTGACATGACTTTTGAGTCGACTCAAAAGCAGGCTGTCAGGCGCACGTGAAGTGCAGAACTGTGTGCGAGGAGTGGAGCAGGAGAGGCGAGTGCACGGCTGAGTGATGACACGACATGACAGCCTGGCAGGTTGCTGTTTGAAAGGCGCAGGTCCACAGGAGGGGGTTAAGATAGGACGAGGCACCTCGCCTCGCCTCGCCTCCTCCCCTCTGACGTGCGCACCCGTGCCATCTGTTACTCCCCTACTGCTGCTACCGCCCTCGCTGCTATCCCCCTCACTGCTGCTGCTGCAACCACTGCTGTGCTCTGCACCACACCACCCACACCTGTACTGTCAACCTGTGTTGCACCATACGCGTTTAGCGTTTGGTATGCTAGCGTATATATGCTGAACGCTTGATTTCAAACCGGAAACACGCTAGGTATACAGTAGGTCGGGCAGGCTAAAAAGAATTCGGGCAGGGGAAAAGTTTCTCCGGGGTTGGGGGGGGGGGGGGGAGGCGTGTGGAGCACATCCCCCCCACCCCCACCTCCCCTGAAAATTTCACCATTAAATAGCAAATAACAATGTTTGGGCCATAAATGGCCATCAATTCCCCACTTCAAATCCGTCAAATGCAGGCTCCCAATACTGCTCCAAATCCATCAATACTGCGTAGGAACAACGCCACTGCCAGCACCAACAGTAGGGGGAGTCGACATTGTAGCAGTAGAACTAGGCTAGAGGGAGCATAACTTGGTGAGAGCAGAGATTAGGCGGTAGAATGGCGGCTGCTCTAAGTCGCACGTGAAATTTGGTTAGTGCATTTGACGGGATTGAGGTTGTGACTGGAAGTTGCAAACAGGTTCAGTGCGATTGAGAGGGGGGGAGAGGTTGGAAGTTGATTTCTGGCGAAAATTTTGACATTCGCAATTTGGCGACAATCTGGTTGGATTCGCCAAATCGCGGTGTCGCGATTTTTTGTCCGTGATTTTTCCAGGGGCAGCCTGAAAAAATATGGCCGAGCGTGGATTTGCGCATGGCGCAACAGAGCTCTCAACCATTTTCCCTCCTCCCACCTCTTCTACCCCTCCCCCCTCCCCCCTCCCCCTCCCCCTCCCCCTCCCAGGTCACGGCGCACCTGTCCTCGCTGCCGTCTGTGTTCGTGCAAGACGGGGCCGTGGGCTCCGCCTCTCTCTCTGACGTGCGCACCCGAGCCATCTGCGACTCCCCCGCTGCTGCAGCCGCCATGGCTGCGCTCCTCTGCCCCACGCCCACGCGCACTCTCGCTGCCGACTCCTTCCCCCTCACTGCCTATGTGGCGCCCAACTTCAAGTAGGGTCTTGGGGTGGGTGGGGGGTGTGGGGTTGGGGGGGAGGCGTTGCGTGGGGTGCTACTGGGATGTTAAGGTGGCATGTTGCTTGAAAGAATGGACTGTTGGTTACCGCTCTCCCTTCCCCCTGCTGCCGCCCTCGCTGCCCTCCCCGCCCTCGCTGCCCTCCTCTGCCCCACGCCCACGCGCACTCTTGCCACGGACTCCTTCCCCCTCACTGCCTATGTAGCGCCCAACTGTAAATATGGCTTTTGGAAGCCTGGCTGGGGTGGCATGGGCGGTACGTCTTATTCGTACATCCTGATTTTTTAAGTCTGGGGTGCTGCCATGCCAGGATGGCGTGTTACTTGTAGTATGGGGCGCTGAGATGGCGTGGAGCGCCGGGGTGTGCTGTCGTAGTTGCCACCTGCCTCTTCCTTTCCTCGCTATCATCTCCCTTCTCTGCTCCTCACTCCCAATTCTTACCTCCTCCCTTACCTCCCCACCTTGCTTTCCCCCATACCTTCCCCTCCTCATCTCCTCCCTCCCAATCCGCCCTTTCCCCCTCCCCCCGCTCAAGCGGTCCTTTTCTCTCTCTCTGTTCTGTATCCTACACTACCAATTCCTCGTCCCCCCCCCCCCCCCCCCGCCCCCTTCCCCTTCTTCCGCCTCCCCTTTCGCCCCCTCCTCTCCCCCCCCTCTCCAGGACCAACACGGCAGGCGACGCGCTGATAGCAGTGGACTGGGAGACCTCGTCTCTTGTTGTCACGGGCGCTGCTGTGGCCGATGCAGCTTCCATCCAGGCTGTGCTCGCCGCTGCTGCTGGCTCTGCTGCACTCAAGAAGGGCGCTCTGCTGCTCAATGCCAGGTGGGCGCCGGGGTCTCAATGCCAGCTGCTACTGCTGCTACAGTTACTACCCCCTTCCCGCTGCCTTCCCCTCCGGATCTTTTTTTTTATTTTTATGCTTCCAAAGCATTTTCCTCGCCCCTCCCCCCGTGATTAGCCTCTCTCCCCTTGCGCCCCCTCCGCCTCCACCCCCCCCGAGGTTTATATCTGCCAAACCAGCGTCGTGCCTGCTTTACTCTCCCCCGTCCGCTGCCACCGCGGATTTCGAGCCAACTCAAAAGCCCTTTCATCCCCCGGCTCTCCCCCCTCCCCCGGACCTCCTCTTCCTCCCCCCTCTCCCCCCTCCTCCCTTCTCCCTTCTCTCTTCCCCCTTCCCCCCCTTCCCCCCTCTCCAGGTTTATTTCCGCCAAGCCTGGCTCCTGCCTTCTTCTCTCTCCCCCGTCCGCCGCCTCTGTGCTACCCAAGTCCTCAGCGTTTCCAGAGGACTCCCTCCTGTGGAGTGCGGGCGGCGTGGCCCGTCTCTTTCCGGGCAAGGACGCGTCGGCACCGAACCTCTACGTGGGGCCAAATGCAGTGGTGCTGCTGACGTCAGACAGGTAGGGTCGGGGGTGTGGTCGGTTGTGAGGGATCTCATGAGCTAACTTTAGATGGGGGTTGGGGGGGTGAGTTCGGTTGTGTCTCCATGGTAAGGCAAGGCGAGTGAGAGGGACGGAGCGAGTGAGGGAGTTACAAGAGCAAGTGCGTGTCTCGGTAAAGGAGTGAGACGGTGTGCCAACTTGCAAAGAGGTTGTGGATGGGGGAGTGCACGAAGAGCAGTTGAGTATCGAGGCGCGTCAAAACTATGAAGAGCAGTTCTGTCCCGTCTGTGAGTGTGTAACCAAGGCATCCATGCCATTCCACAACGCAAAGCAAGCAGGTCTTTGAGGAGTCCCAAGGGAGTCCCAAGGGAGTCCCAAGGGAGTCCCAAGGGAGTCCCAAGGGAGTCCCAAGGGAGTCCCAAGGGAGTCCCAAGGGAGTCCCAGGGGAGACAAAGGAGTAAGCCTCATTGGCCCCTCGTCCAGCAATTACTACCCAGCCCTCCCTTACATTCCCAACTACCGACAGACCAGAAGTGCAGCCCTGCCATTCAGCAGGCAACCTTTCCAGAGGAAACGCCTTGGATCGAGGCTGCTCAAAACTGTCCTGTCCTGCCGCATGCACGCTAGTCCAACACATGCATCCATACACAGAACCATCTCCCCCTCTCAGCCCTTCCTCCTCTCCATCCGTCCACCCCTCAACCCCCCCTCCCCCCATCCGTCAGCTCGAAGGTCCTCCCTCCAGTGCTCAAGCTGTCCCCCAAGCAAGCGGCCTTCTACTTCCTGGCAGGCTACGACGGGGCTGCCTTCAACCCCGCCTTCGCCCCTCCTGCCTTCGCCCCTAAGCCTGCTGCTGCCGCTCTGGCTGCTGCTGCTGGTGGGGCGGCGCCGCTTGCTCTCGCTTTGAAGCTAGCAGAGCAGGTGAGTGGGGTGTGTGTGTGTGTGTGTGTGATGGGTATTTGTGTGTGAGGGGTGTGTGTGTGTTAGGTGTGTGTGTGTGTGTGGGTGTGTGGAAGAGATTTGTGTGGGATATGTGTGTGCATGACGTATGTCTGTGCGATGTACGGACGGAATTACACCCGTGCTCTACACCCTAATCCTCGAACACACGAATCCCTTCCAACAAAGGATCACTATTCCTCCAAGCAACAAGTATATTGTCAATATAAATACCGCGTGTAATGAGTCTGCTTTTAAGCCGACTCCAAAGCAAGTACATCCGTGCTCTACACCCTAATCCTGGAGCACATGCATCCTTTCTTCCGACAAGGATCACCGTTCCTCCCTTTCCTCCTCCTCGTTGCTCTCTTGCTCCTCACATTACCCCATGTGTCGACTTTTGCTTCCCCTCCCATTCATTTTCCTCGTCCACCTTCTTGTTTCTCCCTCCCCTGCTCCCCTCCTCGCCTGTCTTCCTCTGCCCTGTTGTCTACACGTTCCTAGCTTGAGGCCACCTCCACTCCTGCCTATCTCATCAACACCTTCGAAGGTCAGTGGTCCTCCTACACTCACTTTCGCACACTGTTGATCCCACAATAGCAATCGCAATCGCGCTCTTGCGATCGGACGGGTGGTTGCTCACCTGTTCTTATCCCTCTTCTTGAGGTGCCTCAAAAATAGACTCCTCTTGCGATCGGACAGGTAGTTGCTCACCTGTTCTTATCCCTCTTTGAGCTCCGCACAGCCCCAACCTTCAAGCGACTTGCTTGTTTGTTGTTGAATAGAGCGTTAGCTGATACGCACACTGTTGCAACTCGTGCTCGTGGGAGCGACCTGTCCATTGTTAGTGTTAGCGTGATGGGTATGTTGGAAAAACTGCGTTTCGCGGTTTGTACGCTAGCGGTTAAACACAAGCGTTTATCCGCAACACGCAGCAGGGGGGTTAGTGAATACACACGAAAACCGCAGGGTCGGGCAGGTTAACTAACTTAGGACAGGCGAAAAGAAAGCGGTTTTGGGGGGGTTGGGGCAGGGGGGGGGGGGGTACTGAGCACCCTGAACCCCCCTGCACAACCCCCCCCCCCCCCCCCCCCCCAAATGAAATAAAATTCATTACCTTTTCTCCATACACATGTCTCGTCGCCCCAAAGTTAAGTGATGCACCTCATCGGTGCATCGCTCGGTTTGATTCTGCCACCAACTGCGCCAAGGGCAGCCACCTCGGCCGCGCGCGTGAGGTCACGCACGTTGACTTGTTCTTCTCGTAAAGCGCCTTTACCTCGTGGCGCGCCGACTTGGGAGATGCGGCGCAGAGCCGCACCTCGCGACGACGCAGCTCGGTCCAGTCCGCGATGCGCTGCGTGCACCTTAACATGCTGCCAGTGAACTCGACCCTGCAGTACTTGCAAACCTCGCGGGCGTTCTTGCTGCCGTCCTAGATCGGGATCTTGTAGTGCTTAATATTAGAATGGCTGCTGTCCTCACAGAGCTAGAAGCCTCACCTGAATCACCGGTTGCATCGGCACTCGTGTTAGCAGGAGTGGCAGGGAAGGAGGACATGGTTGGAAAATGTAGGGAGCGGCACTAGGTGGAGCAGCGTAAGCTGGACGTAAAGCGTGATAAACAGAGGTGAGAAAAGAGTTGCCCCTGGTGAGGCCAACTCGTAAAGTGGAGTAGTTGGGAAAAGGAGGTGGAAGGGAGATTGGGGGTTGGGAGAGGTTCGGGGGGAATGTGCGGCTCGAGTTTGAATGTCGAGCTCGAATGGGCGAGTTTGCGATGTGCGCAAATGTTGATACAATTCCCAAAATTGCGAATCGTAACATTTTTTTTTGGGGAGAAATTTCCCTGGTCTGCCTGTGCGGTTTCCAGCGTTTTTCGACCCTAAACCCAAAACCCTGAATCCTGAACCTTAAACCTCAAGTTTTTCGTGCATTTAACCAGAAACGCAGTCCTCAATGTGCGGTTTGTCCATCTTAGCATGGTATGGCATGGCTTGGGGGCATGGCATGGCCGCACGGCATGACACGGCAATACATCATGATATTTCTCGGCATGGATGCCATGGCTGGTTATCATCTGACACACGTGTGCACATGGCCCCATTCTGGGTTTCCCCTCTTGCTGCAGAGCAAGATCCTGGGAAGCTCGTCCATGCGGCAATATCCGGGAAGATTCCAGCAGCCAAGAAGCCCACAGAGGAAGCATGTATGACACAACACGTCTACTCTCCATCTCCTCACCCTCCTGTTGTATGCGGTCTCTTCCTCCGTCCCTTCTCTTTCTTTTTTTCTCCCTCTCTCTCTTCCCTGTCATGAATAGACTCCCTGACACATAGCCTCATATCGTCCTATCAGTTCCTTTCTCTTTCTCCGCGCCGTCCTCCCTCACTCCCTCTCCCCAACACAGCCTCTCCACTCAATACTTAACCACCCCTCTGTTGGCCCTTCGCCTGTCTTCCCACCAGTGACCACTCTTCGATCCAAATTCGATGCCTTCATTAAAGGCCGCTTCCCTGATCTGCCAGAAGACATCTCGCCACTGTAGGTCTAAAGTTATACAAAGAATGAAGTGTTGATGAAATCCCAAGAAAAGGTGCGAATAATAGCTGCGGATCTTCCTTTCGGGTTTGGCGTGTGTGAAGCTCCATTGTGAGTCTAGATTTTCCTGTCATTCCAACTTGTCGAGTAGTATGCAACAAGGCTACTCATTGGGTATACTGTGTACTGCCCGGTCGACTGTGCATTGCATCAAATCTGTGCATTAGGGTGTATTCCTGGGAAGCGGGATCAATATCAGCATTCGCAAGATCGAGGCTGATCTGGTCGGACAACCTGAACCACTCAGATCAGACTTGTTGAGCTCACACCAGGTCAGCATGATTGGAAAGCCACAAGGGAAATGATCAAAAAGGGTCCTCGCTTTGCCAGAGGCGTGAGCACAAAAGGTCCGGCAATTTTCTGCTCCAGGGACCTCGCCTCTGAACCTGAAATACACTTCTTTCTTTGTTTATGTTGGGCTGAGAAAAAGCCCTTAGTATCTTTCCAGAGACTAAGTCCCAGTTGCAAGAGATGCTTTTATCAGAATTGGAATTGTAATTGATGGTAAAGTGAGAGTACACACAAATATACCTAAGTGTTGTACCCTCTAAGAGGTGGCCCTATACAGTCTATACAAACATAGGAGATACACATGTTTGACACACCCCCTAGACTGCATAGGGGAATACCCTAAACAAGCAGCTCAGGGCGGCACTACTAGTCCAACCTCTGAGACAAGGGTCTGAGAGACCAGTCAGAAGGAGTACAGACAAGGCAAGAACAAGTACAGGGCGGCACTACTAGTCCAGCCACTGGGAGAGGACACAAGTCCAGTCTGAGTATACATATAAAGGACAGTACAAGTCAAGGTCCTAGCAAGTGAGAAGCGACAGGAACTAGACCAAGCTGTACACAGTGCCGCTGATGATCTTTAGGCGCAAGCGCCTTCGTAAAGATATCAGCTGTGTTGGCACCTGAGGCCAAGTGTACTATGCGAGCCTGACGTCGCTGCTGTAGCTCACGCAGGAGGAAGTACCGCAGCTGAATGTGCTTCGCTCAGCCCTCGAGTCGAGGCTCCTGACACAGGAGGATCATGGCCCTGTTGTCAGCGAACAGGACCGGGGCAGAGCTAGGCCGCTCACCTAAGTCAGTTAGCAAGAAGGTCAGCCAGCGGAGCTCCTGTGCCGCCATGGCACCAGCGTAGATCTCAGCCTCACAGCTGGACTGTGCAACAGACGAGGAGCGAGTAGCTCTCCACGAGACGGCACCTGAGCCAAGGCTGAAGCAGTAGCCCTGGGTAGACCGGAGTGTCTCAGCGTCGTCTGCCCACGAAGCGTCTGTGTGTCCAGTAAGGACCACTGGCCTGCGTCCTCCAAGCACTAACCCCATGCCCGATGTACTAGCAAGATAACGCAGAACCCTCTTAGCGGCAGACCAGTGCTGCGGTCGGTGTCTGCCTGTGGCCACAAAGCGCGCCAGGATGCTGAGAGGGTATGCGAGATCTGGGCGAGTGCAAGTCATCAGGTACAAGAGGCAACCCACCAGCTCTACGTAGGGGCCGCTGGGCTCTACCAACTGCTCAGGTACTGGAGCGGAGAGTCTGTGGTCTACAGGCAGAGGGGTGAAGGCTGAACCTCTGAAGGCTGAACCTCTGAAGGACCTGGCGCACCAAGTGTGACTGAGTCAGGGTGATGGTGCGCGCAGCTCTATCCCTGGAGATCTGCAAGCCAAGGTAACGGCGCAGTTCTCCAAGGTCAGTGCAGGTGTGTCTCTTCAGCAGCTCTGCCTTCACGGAGGCCAGTGCGTCCCTGTCTGCCGTGGCAAAGACCAGGTCGTCGACGTAAACAAGGATGTAGAACGGAGTCTGGCCAGCACGAACGAAGAGTGAAGGGTCTGCGGAAGACGGAAAGAACTGCAGGTCAGCAAGGGTAGCACGGAGAGTGTCGTGCCACTCACAGGGAGCCTGGCGCAGGCCGTAGACGGGGCGCCGCAGGAGCCACTGGGTCCCAGGAGGGAAGGTGCCAGTAAAGCCCGGAGGGCGACGCAGGTAGACCTGCTCGTGTAGACTGCCCTGAAGGAAGGCAGTGGAGAAGTCGAGGGAGTGAAGCTCGTAGTCACGCTGAGCAGCTAGGTGTAACAGAACCCGAAGAGTTTCATCTTCGGGGTCGGAGCGAAAGTCTGGAAGAAGTCCACCCCCTCACGCTGACTGAAGCCTCTAGCCACATAGCGCGCCTTGAAGACAGGCGGCTCTCCAGGAGGGCGCTTCACCTTGAAGAGCCAGCGGCCATCGACTACGTTCACCCCAGGTGGGGGAACTGCGTCGACGAAGGTGCCGGTGGATCTCCAAGATGCCATCTCCTGCTCCATGGCAGCTATCCACTGCGAGGCCCAGGGTCCCGAAGTCGCCTCAGCGTAAGTGCGAGGGGTCGGGATGTCGAAAGCGTCTGGGTCACCCTCAGGGACTAGCAGCATGGAACAGAGATGGGGAGCAGCCTCGGACAGGAAAGCAAGCTCCAACTGGCGGTCCTCCAGGACGTCACTGCCAAGGGCAGGAGCACCCCCGACAGACGGAGGACAGGCAGGGTCAGAGACCAGAGCGGTGGCGTAGTCAAGGCGGCGGGTAGAGGCGAAGTCAGCAACAGCAGCGACAAGAGCGGCAAGGCACGAGACCGGAACAAACGGGTCGGTAACGAGAGAGGCAAGGACCCGAGGAAGGAGAGGACGAGCGGCACGAAGGTAGTCGGACAGCGGGGGGGGCGCAACAACTAGGGAGGACGGAGGAGGCGACAGGAGAAGGGGAGGACGAGATGCGAGGGAACGAAGCAACATAGGGTGGGAGCGCAAGATAGGCGAGGCAGGACGAGCACGGGAGGGACGGTGAGACCAGACCTGCGACGGAGGAGTTGGGTCTGGAGACAGGGGAGGGGACACAGGAGGGGAACGAGGGGGGAGACGAGCCGGGGACGAGTCCGGCGGAGGGAAAACAGGGCCGTAGACAGGAAGAGGAGGAGACGGTCGGGGAGGAACCGACGCAGGGTCGGGGGACGGAAGGCCGAGCAGGCGAAGGGCGGACACCAGCGGGGACCGCTGCTGCGGCGGCACAACGGCGACACCTGGACCGCAAGCTGCTCCTCGGCTACCACCGGCACTCTCCACACCAGCACCCCCAGAGGGACCACCCCCAGGGCGACCGGGACGAGCACCCCCAGAGTCAGCGAACGGGGGCTGCGACGGCGGCGGCGGCGGCGGCGGAGGCGACGGCGGCGGCGGCGGCGGCGGCGACGACGACGGCTGCAGCAGCGGTAGTGGCGGTGGAGGAGGGGACTGGGGAGGGGACACCTGGGGAGGGGCGGCCGGCGAGGACTGCATCGGAGGGCCACCAGAGTCAGACGACTCCTCAACCGGGTCCACGGACGGAAGGGGGGTGACGTGGGACACACCAGAGGGGGCGGGACAGGGAGGAGGAGGAGGAGGGGCAGGGACTACCGGGGAAGGGGTGACCAGGAACAGGGGGGGGGTAACCGGGGGACCACGGTGGGGAAAGCGGCGGTAGTAGGAGACAGACTCGTCAAAGGTGACGGCACGAGAGTGAAAGAAGCGGTGAGACGGCGGGTGGTAAAAGTGCCAGTCGGACGCGTCAAGGGGAAAACCGAGGAAGACGCAGGGAAGGGTGCGGGCAGTGAGCTTGTCCGTGCCGGAGGCACGGACGTGAGCAAGGCAGCCCCAGACGTGGAACGCAGACGCGTCACCAGGGGACCCAGTCCAAAGACGGGTCGGCGAAACCTGCGGCTGCTGAGGGTGCGGCCACAGGTTAAGCTGGTGAGAAGCGTAGCGCACAGCGAACGGCCACAGAAAATGGGGTGCACCGGCATGGATCATGGAGGTGCGAGCCACCTCCATGACCAAACCGATGCATCGCTCAGCGACCCCATTCTGCTGTGGGGAGTCCGGTAGGGTGAACGTCTGGGTGATGCCCTCCGCATGACAAAAGCGACCAAGGACACCGGAGGCAAACTCGCCACCACGTTCTGAGTGAAGACGCAAGACAGGGAGACCGCGGTGGACACGCGCAGAGACAAGCCAGGGGATGAGAGCGCCAGGCACATCGGCCTTGCGCTCCAGGGGAAAGACTGTGGTGTAACGAGTGAAGTCGTCGACTAGCATAAGGAAGTAGCGCTCTCGACGCAGCCCAGGGACGGGGGCGGGGCCCCAGACGTCCAGGTGCAGGGTCTGCAGCGGCGCGGCGGTAGGGGGAAACGAGGAGGAGTGAGGGGCACGGCGAAGCCGACCCTCGACACAAGGCGTGCAAGGTGGGGATGGAGAGGAGGGAAATGCGGGGAGCGAACCTGGGAGACCAAGGACGAAACCATGCTGAGACATGTGACGCAGACGCGGGAGCGCAGGGTGACCTAGGCGGTGGTGCCACAGGAGGGTCGGGTGAGTGAGGGAGCGACAAGAGCAGGCAGCAGCAAACTGGGTAGACGCAGCCACCTGAGGGGGCGCTCCAGCCGGGGGAGTCACGGTGTCCAGAGTGAACAGGCCGGACACCGGGTCCCGGGGGAACGTGGACAGGGGGGCACCAGTGGCGGCCTCGGTACAGACAGCATACCGCTCGTGACCAGGGAACGTAGTGGTGACGCCAAGGTCCTGGAGGCAGCCGACACCAACTAGGTTCCTGGAGAACGAGGGGATATGCAGACCTGTAAGAGAACCCGAAGGAACCGCCGGACAGGGAAGGGTGGTGGAACTGCGGGCGACTACCGGACCGCCGGAGGGGTCAGCAAGAGAAACGACAGCAGGAACAGGAAGCGGCGTCAGGGTGGTGGAGTCGCGGAAGAAACACCGAGAGGCGCCAGAGTCCAAGGTGAAGGAAAGCGAAGCCGAGGGGTCTGGCGACGGAACGACGGCGGAAGCACCAAGACTACACAAAGCAGGGGATCCTATGCCTGACGCAGCAGGGGAGACTAAACTAGGCACACCTACACTAGGCAACAGTGAGTAATAAGCGGGAAGCACACTAGAGTCATCAGCATACATCACATGCGGAGCAGAAACAATGGCATCCATGTCCATATCAAAATTCTGAATCTGACGACTAAGCAAACTGTGCCAGTCCGGGAGGTCTGGCGACGGGCCGAAGCGCTGACGAAAGAGGTCGTCCAGGCGACGAAAACAGCGGGGAGTGGAGTGACCGAGCTTACCGCAAACGACGCCGCGGCGAGGACCGGTCTGGAGCTGGTACTGACAACGCCCGCCGCCACAGCCACCACGCGGCACACCACCACGCGCCCGGCCACCGCCAGCGCCGGGCCACCCCGGCGGGAGGACACTCGTCTGCCGCGTCTGCGACGGCTGCTG